GCTGAAGGGTATCTCTAGGGAAGGGTAGTGTAGCACAGACAGTGCGGCTCTAATCTACTTGGATGCAGGAAGTGGATGCTGTCTCTCTGCAGCAAACACGTATGATTTTTTTTCCCCTTTTTTCGTGTGTGTGATATCTCTTCAGGAGAAGTTTAGAGTCCTGCTTTTCACTCTTTGTAGACCCTTTTAAGTAGGTTTAAGGTGAGTCAGGACTTGCACTTGAGTCCTTAACCGTCTGCATTGTTTCTAGTTCTGCAGTTGTGCAGTGTCATAAACACAGAAGTCATGACCTCTAAAACCATCAAAATAGTGATCAATCCCGGTTTAAAGAAAGCCCCATAAATAGTACAGAAATGCCTATAGAAGAAAAATCTGTAGTAAAAATCATCCTGCACATGATCTGGAAACATGATCCCCAGCTAATGTTAGACTGAAACAACTCCTATAAATGCTTTGAATGTTACTTTATGCCAAAAGCCCTCAGGATGTATTCATGGCGCTGTGTCCGTGCAGGTCTCGCCTGGGTCGGTGCCGCTGTGCAGCGGGTTCCGTTACGAGGGCTCAGGCCACCTCCCCACATTAGCAATCAGCTGCAGAAGCGCTCGGGGATTAAAGCCGGGAGGCCTGAGAGCTGCCCCGGCGTCGCTGCCCCCGGCGTCCATCCAAATTGCTCCTCCAGGAGGGCTTTTTTCCTCCTAATTCCTGTCCTCGGTACACGCGAGCCTGCTCTTGTCATGGTTATAGGGAAAATGGGGACTTCTGCCTATAGATCTGCTAAACCTTGTGTCAGAGGGTGTTTTTGTGCCTTCTGCGTAACGCCTAGAGGACCAGAGCACAACTCCCTTGGACAGCAACGGTCTCTGGTGCCGCAATCGCGGGAAGAGGAAGCCCGTGTGAGCGTTTCTGTTTGCGCTGTGCGTGACTAAGAGATTCATGTCAGTAGGTCACTGTCTTATGACAGCAAACTGCTGAGTCAACGCTGACGGGAGCAGCACGTGCGTTTTCGGACTTTGCCCATAGTTTTGGGAGGTTTAGCTCAAAATGAGCAAAAGCCTTGTTGTTGGAAAGCCCTGGGATGAAAACTGTAGCTCAAAATGAGCAAAAGCCTTGTTGGAAAGCCCTGGGATGAAAACTTAAGTTAGCTGGTGGACGCACAAAATAGCGAGGGGAAGGGCTAAATGAATGCTGAAGTGCAATAGATAAAAAGTTACAGATCTGATGCAGCCTTTTTTGAATGAAATTCCTTGGCACAAGCAGCAGCCCGAGTTGCTGTCCTGCATGAGCAGCTTCCAAGGCAACACGGGTCTCACTGGGGTAACTGCAGTGTCACACAGAGGGGTTTAATCCAAACTGGCAGCACTTGCTCTTCTTGCTCATGTGAACTTTTGCTTACCTGGGTGCAGTAATTGGTCAAAGTCTAGAAACCACTCCGAAAAATGAATGTCATAATGAAAGTGCACAGGACCTTGATCTGTTTGAAATGTCTGTGTGTTTGTTTTCAGATTAACAACATGAAGACCAAATTTAAAGAGACCATTGAGAAGTGTGACAGTTTGGAACAGAGGCTGAATGACTTGCTCAAAGAAAAGCAGTCTGTCGAGAGGAAGTGGGTACCGCTGCCAGGTTGAGTTGCATGCAGCCATTGAAACTCACCACGCATCCAATAAGAAAAAAATCATGCTATTCCTGGGCGATCTTGAGCTATTTAAACTAGCGGAGTGAAAGCTCAGTTTATTTTTCTAAAAGAGCCCTCAGTTCTGTGGGTGTTTGGGGATGTGCCCCTGGAGTGGGATGCAGCTTTGGGGATGCTGGTGCCCTGCATGTGGTTGACGGGGAAAACCTGCCTCGTGCTCTGCTGCTCTGTAGCAGACACCGGTCTGTGCTGCAGGAAAAGCCTCTCGCCCAGCACGCAGCTACGCAGAGCTCCAGGGGCCGAGTGGAGCAGGCAGCAGGTTTGGGGGAGAAGCTCGGGGTGGTTGGTGAGAGCAGGGAAGCACCATCCGGGTGATGTGATGCTGCTCATCACCCCATAGTGGCCCTGCTGGGGGCGAGGACTGAAAGGAGGAAGGAGGTGGTGATGTCCCATCTAGGTGAACTGCCCTTTTTGTCCTGACTTTGTGCCTCTCTCCCCAAGGTGTTCCCAGCTGAATAACAAAGTGGCTAAACTTTCCAATGAGCTGAAAGAGGAGCAGGAACTGAACAAGTGCTTGCGAGCGAATCAAGCCCTGCTTCAGAACAAGCTGAAGGAGGAGGAGAGGGCGCTGAAGGAGACCTGCGAACAGAAGGACCTGCAGATCTCGGAAATCCAGGAGCAGTTGCGCGATGTCATGTTCTACTTAGAGACACAACAGAAAATCAACCACCTCCCAGCGGAGACCCGGCAGGAGATCCAGGAGGGACAGATCAACATCGCGGTGGCGTCTTCGGCTGGCTCCTCCACGGCGGGGACGGGGAAGCCGAGTGCCCGGAGAGGCCGTGGGAAGAGGGGCAAGTGAGCGCCGGGTCCGCCGCTCCCGCGTGGAGCCCGGCCACGCTCCGGGCTGCGGCCTCCGGGCGCTCCGGCTGCCCACGCCCAGCGCAGTCACGCTCGGATATGGTCCTCAGAGCCTCTCATAAAACTGGTTGCCAGTCAGCAGAGGTGTCTGTGGTATTTAAAAGCGTTTCCCTGCACTATTTAGCTATTTTTAGGCAGATCTTGGTGACCGTTTTTGCCTCCCGACCTTCCCAAGCCCCTCCTGTCGTGTGTTTGACTCTTCCTGGAGGATGTACTGTTCTGGGGCCGGGGATGTGCGTGGGTTGAACATCACGTTCTCCACAGGGATGTTGTAGGCTAAGCCCAGGGTTTGAGGCTTCCCGAGCCCTTCTCTCCTGCCTCTTTGGATTGCAAATCCATGAATCCCTGGTTTTATTTAAGAAAGGCTGTGAGTTAGACTGTGTACATCTCTTTAGCGCCTACAGTCCAGAACCTGCGGAGTTGTTAGTGCAGGAGTACGACTGTAGTTTGGAAATAAAACGGAGTGTGGTGTGGAAAATAAACTCTTAGTGGTGTAAGAAACTAAATGAGTCCTAAAGGGCCCTATGTAGGATATTAAATGCTTTAAGGGGCTTTGAGCTGCTATTTCTTCATTTTAAGTACGGCCTTTAAAAGGCCAGTGCTGGCCGCCGTGGGGCGGAGGGCGCAGAAGCCTTTCTGCTCTGGCAGTTGTTTAACGTGGTCGTTTTTCAGGCATTTCTCTACGTTAAACAGAACCCTCTTTGCAAAGACCGGCAGACCCCGAGCAGGAACAGCCACATCCCGCTCTCCCACAGGGGCTGCAGGCGCTTCCCTCGCTCACTGCCCTGGGAACGCGGTGGGGCAGTTCCCTGACGCGCCAGGAGCAGCTTTTCCCTCTGGAGAAGCGCTGTGCTCGGGACGCGGGTGTTGGAGGCTGCCCCTTAGCCCAGTGGCCGGGTTGGGATCATGGTCTGATCCTTTGCGGGTGTTGGAGCTGTGGGAACCCCGAAAACGCAGCTGTGCCTCACCGGCTCCAACCCGAAACACAATAAACCCATCTGGCCAGTGGAGAGGAAGGAGTTAGAATAAATACAAACGCTCTAGTAAGGTGAGTCCTTATTTAATCTGCTTCATGACTCTATTGACTGGCAGGTTTTATTTCTTTTGGGAAGCATTAAGCTTCCTTACCTTGAAATACATGGCTCTTGTTAAAAGGCACTTGTTGCATCCATTGCTTTGGTTTGAAGATCTGTCCCGACCACCTGGACCTTCTACCTTTTCTAATTTTGTAGCATGAATGTACACTAACTCTTTTCTAGGGTGGGATTGTACAACCAGGCCTCTGCCTTCTGTAAAATATTCTAAAGAGCTAGAGACACACAACACAGCTTGCTCTCCTATAGAAACTATTTTATTTAAGATATATTTTTACACCATCGAGGATCCTCCAACCTTTTGCTGAAAGCTTGCTTTATGTAGAACACGAAGATGCTGTACTGTATCTTGGAATTCATTTTCAAAAAATATGATTGAAAGAATAAAAGTGTTCAGTATTAGTATTTGTGTGTTCAAGGGGACAGGGAGGGGAGAGAGGATGGGGTGGAAGGATGAAACGTGTCCCCTTCTCCAAGGCTTTAAGCTAGAGGTAAAGCCCTCTAAGGTCGCCCCCCTGTTCGAGCTAGTCGCCAAGTTACCGCCAGTCCTTGAGGAGCTCCTCCAGCTTCTCCTGTGTTTGGTGTGTGCTAAGGTGGCCCAGACTCTCGATTCGCTGCTGGCTGGGGCTCCCAGCACCGTCCGTGCAGCCCCTGCCCACACGGGACCCGGCTCTTCATCCCGCAGGATGGGGGAATCGACACCTGCCTGCTCCTCTCGGCCGAGCTCTGTCCTTCCAGCGGAGCCAATTCCCTAAGGCCACGGGGAGAATTCCTGCCGTCATCTGCGTTGACCGACTTGTCTGTTCTCGTTTGAGCTCCAAGAAAGTTGCAGCCATTCCTCCTACGCTTTTTTTCTTTTTTTTCGTATGTTTATTTTTTTTCTTCCCTTTTTAACATAAATGGGCATTTTGGTCTAATAACTGTAACTTAAAGGCAGACACCTCCCTCTGGAGCAGCTTCCCCAAGGAGCCCTTCACCAGCGCCCGCCCGGCGGTGCTTGCAGGGGGCTCCGGGGAAGGGGGATGGATGATGCTCGTGTCTTGGCCGGGCAGGAACTCAGCTCACGTTACACGCGAGGACGCAGCTCCGTGCGTCGGTTCCCTTCAGCCGCTGCCTTCAGCTGCCTCCAACGGGCTGCGAGAATCCTGTGAACATCCAAGGGGAGAAAAGGGCAAGAAGCCAGGGGTTTGCCTGACCCGGGAAGCAATCCCGGTCCTTTGCTCTTATTCCATGCCCAAGCTGAAGCCCTGCACGTGACATTTCCTGGGCCTGCAGTGAGCAACCGCAGCAGCATTTACGGCTTTGTCCCTTTGTGACCTGGAAGCAGACAGGTAATTGAGCCAGGCAACAAATGCTGGGATATGAGTGTTTCCCTTCTGCCTTCTCGCAAGGAATTCCTTCCATCCCCTGCCTAGCTAAACGCCTCAGACACATACAGGGAAACAAGGCTGGAAACTTCTCCTGGCAGGAAACTGCTCCTTGCACCGTGCACCGGAGAGGGCCTCCCTGCCGCAAATCCGATAACCTCAACCTCCCAACCACGACCCCCCAACCATGAACTCCCCACGCGAGTGACCGCGCGCAGGATCCGAGCGCAGGGCGCCTGTCCCGCTGCTTGGGCTGCAGCCGCTCCGGCTGGAGCAGCTTCGGGAGCTCCCGGAGAGCAGGACCGGCCGCTGCGCTGGTCGCTGCGGACAGACTCGTGTTACACGTGTGAGGGTTGATTTTCTTGGGTGCTTGGAGGACAAGGAGCACGCAGAGCGTGTTCTGTTTGTCTGCACGCAGAGAAGGGATGTTAATGACTATTTGCATGTCCCTGCCTTCTAGCCTTCCTCTTTCCTCATCCCTGTTTATGTGTGGCTCTCTGCAGCATTCCCAGGTCTCTCTGGACGCGTGACTGTGCTCGGTGAGGAAACGTGTGCGCTCGCCCTGTAGAGCAGGGGAGTCCGAGCAGGAGGAACAAGCCCACATGGGGCTGCCTCCCCCATGAAGCAGCAGATCTGCACTGTGTAAAACGCGATGAGACACCGGGGCGCTTCCTGGGGAAGCTCAGCCCGAGCACCGGGCGCACGGGGCAGCGGCGAGCGGGGGCCCTCGGCAAACACGAGGAGCACGGGGCGCTCTCCAAACCGCTCTCCTTGTTGGCTCCCAAACGGGCTCCCTCCTCACCAGAGAGAAGAGGAGATTTGAACCGGATCCTGCCTGCTCGGGGGAGAGCAAACACCTGAACGCAGGCCTGGGAAGCAGGCGCCTCTGAGCTCCCCTCTGTAACGACGCGCACATCTGCAGTTCCGCTGCAACGAGTGAAACATTTACTCTCCTTCCCAAGGAATCCACGGGGAGGAATGAACTGTGTAAATGCCGAGTGTCTGAGCAGCTGGGTGGAAACGCAGGCTGGGATCGCAGCACTTTCCTCTGCAGTGATCAGAGTCAAACTACAGAAGCCGTTAAGAGGATTAGGTGTTCTTGATCTGCACGCAGAATTCCAAACGCCTCATCCTGGGAAACGGCTCTGGGCCCTGGGAGGGAACCCCCCGCCGGGACCCTCCTCTCGGTGCCTTCTAGCACCCAGCTGTTTCACAGAGCTACGGGCTGTGGCTGCTGCAGGCCGTGGCTGGAACAAAAGCAGCCTGGGGGCTCCGGTGCACGAGGAGGGGGCAGCGCGAGGGCCCGGCTGCACCGGAGGCTCCGGTGCCACCTCCCGCGCAGAAGGGCTGCGGCTCCCGCGTGTCACAGCACAGAGGGAGGCCGGGACAGAAACCCTGCTGGGTTTAAATCAGGGATGAGGAGAGATCCCTCCCTGCATGCGAGGGACGGGGTTCTTTAGCAGCGCCGTTGCCATTATCCAGGTGGCTTTAGCACTGCAGGGCTTTAGCAGCGAAACCTGGTTGCACCGCAGTGCCGCTCCCAGCCCAGTTTCAGTTCTGGTTCTCACCCATTAGCGCTGTTACCGTCCAAACACAAATACCTGACAATTCCCTCCGCAGCCCAGGCCTGCGGAGAGCGGGGCTGCGCTGCCAGCGCGTTGGCAGGAAGCCGCTGCGTTCCCGACGGACACCTCGACGAGCCGCCGGCCCCAGGCGTGGATGGGATGAGTATGGAAAGCATTAAGCTCCTTTCCAGCCTTAAACAAGACTGCGCCCTGTAACCAAGGAGGAAGACATCACTATGCAGCACGCAGGCACGTTTGCCGGGGACGCCGGCCCTGCTCCCGCGGGCGGCCTGGCTGCTCCCAGCTGGGATGCCGCAGGGATGGGGGCAGGGGCTCCCGCGCCGGGCTGGGAAGCCCTTTCCCTGCGCTCGCAGCTCCTGCCGGAGCGCCCGGTTAATGCAGGCGGGTTTGCTCGGAAGCCGGTTTGCTCTCCAGGAGCCTTGCTCTGAGCAGCTGATATAACGCATCAGAACCGGCAAAAATCTGCATCTTCCTTCCCATTATTTTGGGAACAGGAGGGAGAAGGGTCCCCAGCTCAGCCCTTTGCCAAGGCTGCCATGAGCTCGTCAGCTGCCAGGAACGAGGCTGGGATCCTCCGTGTGGATTGGAAAAGTACCTGTGCCTGCTCTGCAGCAGTGCAGTCTGATCCCTAGGGATTAATAGTAAAGTGCATTGCAACATCTGAGGTGACAGGGCACAACGGCAATTCCTCGGAGGCTCCTAATAGCAACTGGAAGCTGTTCTGTGCAGCAAACCTGCTGCTGACTTGGTTTTTAATGGACATGTGTCTGTAGGGGACAAAATGCCATGGCAACGGGCGTTGCTGCTGGCACAAGGATCTCAGCAAAGGGACAGGGGGAGGATGGCACCGAAGGGCCCCGAGACAGCGCTTGGGACACGCGGGGGTGCTGCTTG